CCCCAACCCCGATTATATATATACATATATAAATATATATTAAATGTTATTTATATTAAATATATATTATATATGATATTATATATATCAAAACATAATTTAAAATTTTTATTCATTTTAAGTAAATTTATTTTTTAAAAAAATACTATTATCTAAAACAAATTCGGGGATTCGGGTCCCCGTAGGAAACTTGTCCCCATCGGGGATCAGGGATGGAGGACAACTTTTATTCCTGGTGAGGATTGGGAACAAGGATGGGAATTAATTTCAGAATCGAGGTTGGAAACAATGGATATAATCCCCGCCCCATTGCCATTTCTATGTGGTACCTTTAGTGTGTCTATCGGAGATGAGATGAGAGAGACGGGAGGACCTCCGGTGTGTACCGGAACGATCGTTGGCCCCGAATTTCTCCCCAAGCTCGAATGGAGGAGGATATGCAGGGGTTAAGGTTACACAGAGGTCGAGAGACTGAGAGAGTATGAGCATGAATGGAGAAGTTTTTTCATTTTGGGTGAATCCACACGCGCTGAGGGAGGAATGTGTGTGGGAAACACGTGGTGGGTTTTCATTGTGTGAGACGTTTTTGGGGTGCCAAGGCTGTAGGGCATAGATTCGAACTCCCCTCAACTGTCTTTTCAACTCCTAGGTTTAGCCTAGTCAAACCTAGACTAAACGTACCCACTTCGATGCCCCCTCCTTTTCTACTCACATGCTCCCTCTCCAAACCACTCAACTGTTGGTCAAATCTTTCTGGTGAGATAACAAGGTGTAGTTCCCTATCTCCAATAAGGGTATTTCTCATGTCCTTGTTTATAGATTGGGGATCCTAAACTAGTAACTTCAACTCTTATTGGCTTATCAATCACTAGCATGGGAGAGCGAGAAACCACTTGTCCATTTTCTACCCTAGGCTCCAATAGTTGTTGATTCAACAGCTCATCATGACTTAGTTTAACCTCCTATTCTATTTCCCTTTCATGTCAAAAATCCYTCCTTTCTCTTTTATTGATGAATCTCAAATTTTCCCTATCATCAGGAGCTTGAACAGTTGAGCTATAAGATCCCTTGTTCCTTGATTTTTCGATTGATTCCATGGCATTTGTGTTATATCTTCTAGAGCTTGGTTATTAGTAACATACAACTTCTGTCCTATAACTCCAAGTCTCATGCAAAAGATGGGGAGCCTTTCATATTGGAAATCATGTAGAATACGGGAGTCTCTTCTTCGTTGAGGTTCCCTAATGCCAACGACTTGTTGATGTTCAATTTAATGCATATATGAAAGATCCTCTCCCACATGGGTTYTTCTTCATCTACTTCTTTCCCTTTAAATTCATTTTTGATTTTTTATCAACTCTCTAACACATTTAACCATTCTTGCCCCCACAACCCAWCCCATCTTTCTCTGATGGTACTCCTAATATTATGATTGTAAGAGACAATTTCATAAACTCCATTCTCTTCGTGTTGGCTCTTCAATACCATCTACGCAATAATAAAGAGTAACCTTTCACCAACCAACCATGGTTTCTTCTCTAAAAAAAATTCCTACCTTTGATTTCTTAAAGTAGATTTAGAGCACTTCATCTCCCAATCAATTTGCTTTCAACTTGTTGCCTAGACAATAATTTTTAACCTTTTGCACATCCCATGGGCATTCATCTACTTGTCCACTATTACTTTTCACCTCCGTCCATTACCACTGAATGCGCTTAAGAG